AGGCTGGGTACCCTGCAGAGCCCAGATAGGGTGGCCTAGGAAGCAGGCAGGTCTCTGTCCTCATGTTGTCACCATAGTCTACATCAGGGTCCAGCTCCAGAGCTGCTCAGTCACCTGCCTTTCTGTGGTCATGGCCTCCTGGGCACTGAGGAAATAGCCTCGGGCCCTGGACTATGTGGCAGGTTGGGCACTGAGCAGCAAGGCGCATGGCCTATGCACAGGAGGAGCTACTCTGGCTACTATCTCCCTGCTCATTCTGAATTGGCTTTCTGGAGCCCTCTGCTGCCCCTGAACTGAGCCCTGCTGGGAGCAGATGTGGCCCTGACAAAGGCACTTTGTCTAGTGCTTAGGAGAGTTGGTTCAGGGGCTTGCTTAGCTGTTGGTCTGGGGGTGAAGGCAAGGGCAGGCTATGCCAGTAGCCAAGTTCAGGCACCTCATCTCAGGCACACGGTGATGGGGGAGAGTCTTCTGGCTTGTGTTAATTTCATTGGTTAAATAAAGAGCTTGCTTTGGCCCTCATAGATTAAAACATAGGTGGGAGGAGTAAACAGAACAGAATGCTGGGAGGAAGAGGAAGTGAGCTCAGAGATGCCATGCTCCCCTCTCCCGGGCAGACACGATAGCTCTGCTCTCTGAGGCAGACGCACGCAATGAAGCAAGCCGCCAGGTCAGACATGCTGAATCTTTCCCGGTAAGACCGGTGCTACACAGTTTATTAGAGATGGGTTGATCGGGATATCAGAATTAGCCAGTAAGGGCTAAAGCTAATGGGCCAAGCAGTGTTTAAATGAATACAGTTTGTGTGTTGTTATTTCGGGGCATAAGCTAGCCAGGCGGCCGGGGTGCCGGGGATGCAGCCCCACTGCTCCTATTACTACAACACGGTATATAACCATTCTGCTCACCTAACTCTAAGGACAAGAACATGTGGGTGGGGCAGCTGGATGACTGACAGAAGGACAGGGGCAGCCTGAGCAGAGCACTTAGCACCTGTCACACATACTGGCTGGGCTGTGAATATACAGTTGAGCACTTCAGACTATACCCCAGGACCTTCAGATGGGGCATGTGCTAGGCCTAGAAGGGTCTGTAGGCAGTCTCAGGACAGCACCTGTGTGTTAGGTACCCTGTCCATCCCCCTGCTGGGCCTGATATAGTGACAGAGAGCTTACTTCATCTTGCGATGAGGTTTCAGGGCCTAAGGACAGTGGTCTGGATGAAGTTGCTCTGCCTATCTGAAAAGCCAGTTGCTAGGCAGCCCTGGTGGGAGGCTTTCCCTGGACCAGATGTGTTTAGTGAGGTCAAAGGAAACCAGGCCCATGCTCTGGCCTGTTTTTAAGCCTGGCAGTAGGTCCTGGCCATGGCGCCTTCACCCCTGGGCTGGCCAGGCAGGGGACAATGGGCCTGGCTTTGTGCAAGGAAGCTTGGACTGCCTGGCAGTGTTGCCGTGGAGACTGGGGGAGGGGCTGCGTCTGCTGAGGGACCAAGAGCTGGAGGGTTCTTCAGAGACACAGTGGTCTTTCCCAGGGCCTGAGGGGTACTGTGAGCACTGAAACAGGGAGATGGCCCAACTGGTGCGTCTTGGGTCCCAGTGCTCCCCTGTATATTCACAGCCCAGCCAGTATGTGTGACAGGTGCTAAGTGCTCTGCTCAGGCTGCCCCTGTCCTTCTGTCAGTCATCCAGCTGCTCCGCCCACATGTTCTTGTCCTTAGAGTTAGGTGAGCAGAACAGTTATACACTGGTGTGCCTGAGATGAGGTGCCTGGACTTGGCTACTGGCATAGCCTGCCCTTGCCTTCATACTCACCCAGCACGGGGAGTCCTGGGCATCCACTCCCAGACCAACAGCTGAACCCAGCTGCTTCCCCATTTCATGCACTAAGATGGGTAGTCCATCTCAGCCCTCTATAGTGAGTGCTAAGGGTTCCTATTCTAGGGTGCAAGTAGTGGGGGACTGGCTACAAGGCAACGCATACCTGTGAAGTACAGATCACCTGTGTCCTCTGGACACTGAATTGCTTTTTATCCTCTGGTGGCAGTGGCAGTTCCTCTAGCAGGACACTGACACAAAAAAATCTCACATTGCCAAACTCTGCCTGTTGTGGGTGTGGGTGCCCTAGACGCTCCGGTCTCAGACAGTGATGCCTGCAGCCTACTCACTCAGTTCTTCCCCCTCCCCAGGCATCTACATTCTCATTGCTGTGGGAGCTGTGATGATGTTTGTGGGCTTCCTGGGGTGCTATGGGGCCATTCAGGAGTCCCAATGCCTGCTGGGAACGGTAAGTAGGAAGGGCTGCAGGGCTGGGGAGTAGGGTTTCTGGCAACCTCTGTCTTCCCCAAGGTTTTGGTCTTTCTCTTTGATTTCTGTTGAGTCTGACTCTGAAGACTCATTGACAGAGGGAGTTTCTCTTTAGAAAAGCATAACCTCCAGAGGGGTGTCTTACCCAGTCGCCTTAGTGGTCCTGGCCACAGTAGCTACTGGTGGAGCTGAGTCCCAGGTATGTCTTCTAGAGCTTGGCCAGCCAGTATCAAAATCTTGGGAAGATGAAGCACACTTCCTAGTTTAATCTTCCTGTGTATGTATGATAAAGGGGGTAAGGAAACTGAGGTCAAGATTGGGGGGCATGTTGCTGCATGTGCATCTCTGAAGGCTGTAGACACTTAGATTTGTCAACTGCATCTCCTATACCAGCTGCATCCTGCAAAGCAGGGAGCAGGGTGAAACCATGAGAACTTAGGCATCTGGGTGCCGAGCTGCATCCTTTGTCTTTCATGGTTCTGTGTGGTTCATTAATCAGGACATGGTTGGTGAATATGGTCATCCCCCTTGGCACATAGTTGTTGGTCGTGTGGGCACCCATAGAGGGCCATACTGAGATTGCTGGTCAAAGCTCTAACCTCTACTTTCCCCGTAGTTCTTCACCTGCCTTGTGATCCTGTTTGCCTGTGAGGTGGCTGCTGGCATCTGGGGCTTCGTAAACAAAGACCAGGTGAGCCTCGGTTCACTGGAGAGGGAGATATGCCTTTGCTCAGGCAGCAGGTGTAGCCTGCTCTGAGCCCATGGGTTAGAGGTGCTTTTCAAACTTCTGGTGCTTGCTGGTAGAAGGGTCTTGGGAGCTCAACAGAAGAGATGGCATCGGAGGAAGCCAAGTGCTCTTGATGGTAGGCCCTGTGTTTCATGTGACTATGGTTCTCCCCAGATCGCCAAGGATGTGAAGCAGTTCTACGACCAGGCCCTTCAACAGGCTGTGGTGGATGATGAAGCCAACAATGCCAAGACTGTGGTGAAGACCTTCCACGAGACGGTACAACTAGGCTGGAGCAGGGAGGGCAGGTTATGGGAGTCCTAGCATGTATGATCTATGGAGATGAGTCTTGTCTTTTCCCAGACCTCAGAAACAGGACAGGGCCTGGCTAAGGTTCTCCTCTGATTTGTAGGAACTTAATGGGCCTCATTTGCCCAGAGCTTTGGAGGAACAGGGTTCTTGAGCAGTGTGACAAATAGGGCAGGCCAGCTCCCAGATGTTTTGGGGGTGATGATGTGCCATGTGCCAGACCTTTCCCTTGTCTCCTGAAGCTCCTAAGCTGACAGTGATACTCTTGGTCTCTGCAGCTCAACTGCTGTGGCTCCAATGCACTGACCGCGCTGACCACCTCTATGATAAGGAACAGCCTGTGTCCCGCAGGCACCAACGTATTCAACTCCTTATTGAAGGTGACATGGAGTGGGAGTGGGCATCATATCCTGGGTGGTAGGTAGGTGGTGAATGTGGCCAACCAGGAAGATCAGCCCTTCAAGCAGGACATCAGAGAGGCTCACAGAACATCTCAGCGAGTGGGGTGCTAGGTCCTGAGAGCCTGGGTTTGCCCCTGCAGTATCTTGGGAAATGGCTCTCTTGAGTGGTCCCTTATACATACTGGTGAGCCTAGGGTACTAGTGAGGTCAGAAACACTTCCCTGTAATAAAGAAGGCCAGCAGGTCCATGTGTTTTATTTTGGATGGAAGATAACCTCTGGGACATAAGCCCCACCTCTGAGCATGGTGGTGGCTGTGACTTAGCCCCTCACTGTTACCACCCTCTGGCCCTCTGCAGGAGGACTGCCATCAGAAAATTGATGAGCTCTTTTCTGGGAAGCTGTACCTCATTGGTATTGCGGCCATCGTGGTAGCCGTCATCATGGTGAGCACAGGGCCTGTTTGGTGGGTGAGTGCCACCCCTCCCAAGCAAGGACCTAGGTGCTGACAATGCCCCTCTCTCCCACAGATCTTCGAGATGATTCTGAGCATGGTGCTGTGCTGTGGCATCCGGAACAGCTCTGTGTACTGAGGCCCTTCACTCTGTACCACAGGGACCCTGCAGTGCCCTGCCCCTGAGTGACGAGAGACCTCCTGGGGGCCATGGCCTGTGTATATATTTCTGTATTACTCTGCTACACTTAGCCTTTTGAGGGTTTTTTTTTTTTTCATTCTGAACTTTTCCTGTTACCTTTTGGGGGCTGACATCACACATAGGTGGCGTGTGTAGGGATATAAGGGTGGAGCTGGCCCTGGCTTGCAGGGCCCTATACTTCCGGGACCCCTGGGGAGCTCTGCCTGCTGAGCCAAACCTCCTCCATAGCTACTGGCCCAGAGGCTTTGTAGCTGAGTTAGAGGGCCATGTCCACCCACTCTGCCCACTGTGGGTCACGTTGCTTATATCTTTTTAATCCTCGTCCCTTTCCTGCCCCCGTTTCAAAAGCTGGGTTGTAAGCACTCTTATGCCTTCAATGCACCTGTTCTTTCTAACGTGTCACCTTCTGCTGTAATTACATCTTGAAATAGTCATTTAATAAAGGAGGAGAAAATCAGGCATGCTAATGGGACTGCCAGACCTCTTCCTGAGCCAGTGGTGTTAGAGACCGGGCTCAGCTCTGAACTTCACCAGGCACAGGGTGAACAGGTCCAAGAGAGGCTGTGGAACACAGTGGGAGGGAAGGGTTGGGACCCAGGGAGCACTCCATGTGAGTACTCCCTCGTTTCTACCTCCCTGTCCTAGGAGCTCAGTGCTGACCTTATACCAGCCTTGACCTCATTTCCACTCATCTGTTGGCCGTGCCAAGTCATTGCTGAGCAGAGTAGGCGGAGCCACACAGCAGGAAAATTCACAGAGTGCTGGGGATAGGCTACAAAAACACCCCACCCATACCCCATACCCCTTTTGAGGGACAACACAGCAAAGGTTAGACCACTGCCCCATCCCTAGTATCTAGGTGATTAGAAATGTTCTACAGAGCTGGGTGGCTCTAGCCTATGGTCTCAAGGAGTAATAGGCAAGATGGCAGCCCACTCAGCTCAGCCCTGTGAACTAAGGGTCAGGCTAAGCAACCTCCTGGACACCAGCAGCTACCACCACTACTGTCTTTTCCCCTTTGACTCCTGTCTGAGCCCCTCCCCCAGGCTGCTGGCACACTTAATTGGCCTCTAGGGGAGAGAAAGCCTGGCTAAGATTCAGATCCCAGCTCCTAGCAGCCTCCCAGGAGGCTGATTTGTCAGTGAACCCCAAGCTTGTACTAGGGCGTTCTGATCTCGACCTCCCCCACTCCTGTACAAGCCTGTTCCCTGCTTGGGTGGGCTGCTGGTCTGAGGAACCCTTTCTCTTTATGTTGTGAAGCACGTGGCCAAGGCTGTTGAGTGGCCTGCAGCTTCAGGAACTAGGGAAAAAGGGGAGCACAAAGCAGCCCACTGTATCCTCAGACCCTGGTCCCCAGGGATGCAAGAGGACAGCTCCAAACCTGGAGCGGGGTTGTGTGCGGCTTTGAAAAGTGGGGTCCCTGTCGAAGTACGAATAGGCAGAGCCCAGAGGAGCGGCCTCGAATCTCTGCTGCCCCAACCAACTAATCGACACTCCAGGGCCCACCACATCTCTAGATTCCAATAGCCAACTAGGACTTTAGTCCCACCCCGCTCCAGAGAGCCAACAGAGGACAAGACCGGCACCACTTCCGTGCCAGGAAACTAGTTGGCGCCCGCATTGCGTGGTGACGCACTTCCTTTGTAACGAACCCTGCTCAGGCGGGTTCCGACAGGCGGCGCTGGAGGCCTCAACCCTCTGCGACTGGCCTAGCCCTAGAGTGTTATGGGAATCGAGGCCCCTTGGTTCCGCCTCTTCCTCTTTCGTCAATTCCGTGTCCGCTCCGGTTTTCGGTGATGCGCATACGTAAAGGTTACACCTCCCGTTGGGCATTGGTCCATTCCCTTCTGGGAGTTGTAGTTCCTGATGTACTAAAGTCGTGCCAGTCAGACAGCCGGGGACTCGGTTTCCCAGAAAGCCGAGCGAAAGTGGGCAGGAACCACGGGCCGAATCCCGCGGAACCCGCGGGACTCTGCTGGGAAAGGCTGCTGGGTATTGCAACGTGCACGGAACGGTGAGCGTCGGCCTCCTTAGAACCCCGCGACTAGGCCAGTCCCCTGACGGCGCTTCCTCCGGACCTGGCTGGGTAGTCCCTGCGGTGGCGGTGTGTACCCGGAGAGGCTGTGCTCTGCTGATCTAAAGCCTGTCTCCAGCATCTCCCAGCGTGCATCCTTTATATGTCTGCACTTCTCTGCTCTCATAATTGACTCTCTTCCTTAACCCTATCTAACCTGCAGCTCCACAACTGTGCGCGTGTGGACACACTTTAGGCACTCAGCTTCGCGAGGCCGTCGCTCGCTGCATGACCGGTCAGCGTCTGACTGTGAACAGAGGCGCCTAGCACGTAGTGGAGGTGAAAGGGGAGCTTGGGAGAACACGGAGGGGCGTGGCCTAAGTACACCCCTTACGGCGGAACTTGGGCTATTTCGCTACAGGTGGGGAGGGTCCCAGGTCGGCATGGCGGAGGCGGAGACTGGCTTGGAGGCTGAGGAGCCCACCGAGGATGACACCCTTCCTTCCGACACCGTCTCCCTCAGCGACTCGGACTCGGACCTCAGCCTACCTAGTGGTGCCGAGGTGCAAGTCTTGTCCCCGGAGAGGCTTTCCGGGGAAGCCCAGGAGGACTCCGGCCCTGATGACCCTCCCTCACCCCTCACGGGTGTCCCCACCACCCCAGTCCAGCCGTTCCACCTCCGAGGCATGAGTTCCACCTTCTCGCAGCGCAGTCACAGCATCTTTGATTGTCTGGAGAGTGCGGCCCGGCAGGCACCGCCCTCTGCGCCCCAAACTAGTGTGACTGACAATGGCAGCTTCAAACGGCCTGTGACTCCCCCAAGTCAGACTCAGGCAAGGAACCTGAGCAGAGTGCATGAGAGCACTGGCCCAATCAGGGTGCCTCCTGTGCCGGATTATGTGTCACATCCTGAACGTTGGACCAAGTACAGTCTGGAAGATGTGGCTGAAGTCAGTGAGCAGAACAATCGTGCTGCTGCTCTGGCCTTCCTGGGCTCTCGCAGCCAGGCATCCCCTACAGACTATGTACCCTCCTTCAACCAGGATCCCTCTAGCTGTGGAGAGGGGAGAGTGGTCTTTACCAAACCAGTACGAGGCAGTGAGGCTAGGGCCGAGAGGAAGAGGATCCTAAAGAAGGGGGATGTGTCAAGTGCTGGGAGTGAGGCCTCTGTGGAGCTGGCCCATCTGGCCGGGCCTGAGGCTGAGGAGTGGAGTGGCCACCAGGGACTGCAAGAGGTAGTGGTACCTTCAGGAGCTGACCACCCTGGGTCCTCCTCAGACCCCACAGGGATGGAGGCTGTTGGTTTCCATGGCAGCAAGAAGCGGAGCAGAGAACATTTCCGGAACAGGGACAGTAACCCCGAGGGGCCAGGGTCTGAGAGAGGCCCCTCAGTTTGACTGCAGTGCTAGCTCTCCACCTCCTCACCTGCCCAGCCCAGGTTTGAGGGAAGCTGTGTTGTGCAACAGCCCTGGCTGGGAATGTGGGACCTTGGAAGCCCTTGTGCCCCATTGTCCTGGGGTGGACAATAAAGGTTTGGGGTATGTCTTGGATTTTGTGGATTTTTCTGGGCCCCCTTCAAAAGATCTGTCCAAACAGCCCTTGACACCTGACTGCAGGACTCCATCTACATCACCTCTTTGCCTTTCCCACTCCAGTGGGAACTGCTGTGAAGGTTTGCCATGGTCCTTCACTTTTGCCACTGGTGAGCCTACCCAGAGGGACTGGGCTCATAGCCATGCCCAGCCTTGTGCCCCTGATGGTAATGGATGAACATAATCTGCTCCCTGAAACCAGCACAGCCTCAGCACCAGCCCTGTGCAGATCAGTTTTAGGAAGAGGGTAGATTGAGTCAGCAAGGGAGGTTGGGCAGGTATCCACCCAAAGAGCTGGTGCCCTGTATGTCTCCAGGACTTGTGATCTCTGTGTAGGACATTCCTGATGCTAGGTCATTTAGCTGGTGCTTAGCCCAGGAGGAAGAATGATGTGCGGAAAAGATACTGCGTACCTGATGTGGAGGCCAGGGTCTTGGACCAAGCTAGCTAACCTGTCCTGCTAAATACCAAGTCTGCCCTAGCGTCTGTAGTCCCTATTCCAGGACTTAAGTGTTCCCAAAAACGAGGGATCAGCCTGGATGGTCATATAATTTGAAGAGCAATGGAAGCAACCGAGATGCTGTTCAATAGATTAGGTAACTCCCCATGCTCCCCAGGTGTTTGAAATGCATGTTCAGCCATCCCTGCTTTCCAGTGTAACTGGGTCGAGGTGGTCTGCAGGCTTTATAGCATCATTGGGAACCCTTGGACAGTATCTTGGGATTACTGCCACAACAGTTTCGCAGATAATGCTGTTGGGGCAGAAGGGTCAAGGCTGGTGATTACCAGCGCTCTACTAGCTGGTCAGCTGATGAATTGCGGGTCTTTGAGAGCAGAAAGAAACTGCTGGTGTTTAAAAGGTGGTTTTCTTAGGAACTCAGGGTAGAGATAGGGGCCTAGACCCACTTTAGTTCAGCCTAGGCAGATGGTGTCCTGTGTGGTACATAGTTCCTGATGTCCAGTGAGTGCTCTAGGTAGGACCGAAAGAACTTCCTCCTGCTGGGGCTCCCAGATAGGCGCCAAGAGACATCAATTTCATTTTCATAGGAAGGAATGTCCAAGAAGTGTGTGACAAGGCCTGGAAGACCATTTCTGGGAGTTGCTGAGAGTAGGGGAAGGTTGGTAGACCCCAAGATGGCAAGGTCTGGGGCTCTAGGACAGGTGGTCCCTCCATGTCAGGTGTCTGAGGGTGGCAAGCCAGCCTCTGGGTACTCCCTGTCTCTGGCAGAGACTGGCTGACTCCTGCGACCACAGTTCTGAGAGCCTGGGAGTAAGGAAGGGAGAGAGGACCTTCAGCTGTAGAGCCCCAGCTGGGGCAGGACAAGGCAGGAGAGAGGCAAGGTCCAGGATACGGAGTGTGATAAGGCCGCTTGTCCAGCAGGTTTCATACCAGACAGATCCTTGGCACTCTAAGGCTCTGCCTCAGGCACCTGTATGCCTTGGGAACAGCGGCCTGCCAAGGGGGTAGGCACTTCCAGCACAGGTGGGGAAGGCAGGGCCAGATGCTCAGGCTACAGCTTTGCTTTTTGCCCCAATCAGTGGCCAAAGGGAAAAGCCCATGCCCACCTCGTTCCCATGGCCTGAACAACACTTACTTAAGTAGGTGCTGCCTGGAGCCACTGTGTCAGCCATGGTGGACAGGAGAAGCGTACAGTAGTTGGCCTGGAAGAAGCCAAGGGAGGTGCCGGACTTTGGCACGGGGTCCCTCCCATGTGACTCCCTTCCTGCCAGGGCAACTGTGACCCCAAGACTCCTCACTCTGGACCAGGCTCCCCATGTCACAGGAAGTGGTGGAGATTCTAGGTTTTGTTGGAACAGCTCTAGAAGAAAGGTGGGTCTCTAAAGTGACTTGGGGCAAGGACAGGCATAGGCCAACATAGGCTTCTACCCTGAGATCTCATCTACCCTGTCCATAATCCCTCCGCTCTGTCCCGGCCCTAATGCTGCCCATCAGAATGCTAGTACAGGGCTGTGGCAGTTCCCATAGAAGCAGAAGGATGGCCCCACCTCAAGAAGAATGGACAGTGGGTTGCTGGCTTGCCTGTGATTCCAGACACTTGATCCTCTTTTCTTGCTCTCTCAGCCCCCCGATGTATTTGGCAATCAAGTCCACTCTGGAAAACAGAGCCGGCCTTAGATGTGATAATTCCATGGCGCGCCACAAGGGGGAGCCTGCCTGCCCTAACTGCTTTCTCGGCCTCGGTCTGCTGTTGCCTCTGCGCTACTCTCCTTTTAATCTGGATCTGGGCTCTGTCTATAGATATGGAACACTTCTGTGTCCTCCCAGAGACACAGCCCTTCCACCACCCAGCAGCGTCCGGGGATGGCTCTTCAGACTTGAGAGAGGATGAAGACAGAGTCCCATTCATAAAGATACCTAATTACGGGGTTTATGTCCCATCCCTCCCCCGACACCCTCCCCCTAGAGCAAGAGGCTGGAGTGCTGGGTCCTGTGACACAGCCATGTTTCCCTAGCTCAGAGGTCCTATTACTGGCACTAAAGAGTCTCATCAGCCTTAAGGCAGTTCCCCAAATCCCACCATTACTGAAAAGACTAGATACTTTTCTGCCTCCGTATGCTTGCACTAGGGAGCCCCTCCCAGACTTATTGCCCCTCATAACAACCGGTTGACCAAGGTCAACCCAGCCCCACTGCATCTGAGTCCACCTGCCTCCAGGTAGGGCCCTCTCTACATCTCTGGGCAGCTCATGAACAGGCATGGTGACACCTGCCAGCCTGAGCCTCACATGCCTCCTGTCTGGAGTCCCATAGGTCACCCCACCTGTGTGCCGTTTTCCTCAGCACCTCTCCCTCGCTGTCCCTCCTCCGTTTCTCCATGGTGCTCAGGAAGTTCTCCTTCTGAACTGTTTCCCAGGTAATGATCTTCTGGTCCAAGGGGGCAGGCAAATCTCTCTCTGGCAAGGTGGGAGACAGCAGCAAGCCTTGGAGAGCTGTGTGGGTCCGTAGGGCAGAGCCCAAGCCCAGGCTGTGGCAAGGGACTAGTGCAGATGCCACCAGGTGGGGCACAAGGCAGATGGCAGAAATAGGCCCCATGGAGGAATTTTGGGCTGCAAGGAGACAGGATGGCCCTATGGCTGTCTAGTATGGGCCTGGGGCTTTGGTTAGCCTTTCAGGGCCTAGATGAGCAACCCCAGTCCCAGCCGGGCGGTGGTGGCGTACGCCTTTAATCCCAGCACTCGGGAGGCAGAGGCAGGAGGATCTCTGTGAGTTTGAGGCCAGCCTGGTCTAGAAAAGCTAGTTCCAGGGCAGGAACCAAAACCCTGTCTCGAAAATCAAAAAAAAGAAAAAAGAAACCCCAGTCCCTTCTGTGAGTCTTCTCAGGCAGCTAGGACCCTTGGGAACAGTGGCATCCAGCCTGTGGCCTCACCTAGATGTTGACGCTTGTGCTGGGCTTCTTTCCTGAAGACCCTCTTGAGCACCAGACTCAGGTGGCTGAGCAGGATGAAGGGCGGGGCCAGAGCTGGTCGCCCATGGTATTCAACGATGAGGTGGTAGCGTTGAAACTTCCAGAACATGTCGGCATTGCCCTGGACCACTTGGAATGTGTAGCTACAGGACACATGGCCAAGCCCTTGCCTTATAAGCTGCTCTCCCACCTATAGAAACATCCTTCCTCAACCCGGCACCATTTCCCACCCTATATGCCACCCCTCCTGGATCCCACTTGCCACCCTTCATCCCACCCCATTTACCCTCCACTCCCTATATGTCATCTTAATTGCGTTCAGGGGGCAACTGGCCTGTACTGGGAGCCCTTTCAGAGATGGAGGCTAACATAGGTTTAACTGTCAACTTGACCATCTAGAGTCACCTGAGAAGACAGTCACAATTGAGGGACTGCCAAGATCCCATTGCCCCGTGCATATGTCTGTGGTGGGTTATATTGACTATTTTTTGATGTAGGAGGGCCCAAGCCATTGTCGGCCGCACCATTCGCTGTGTGAGAGGTCTTGGGCTGTGTAAGAAGTCCAGCTAAACGTGAACCTAAGTGAGCGAGCAAACAGCATTCCTGTGTGGTTCCTGCGTTCCTTGAGCTCCTGCCCCGACTTCCCTCGGTGATGGATTGTGATCTGGGCATGTAAGATGAAGTAAACCATGCCTCTTCCTAAGTTGCTCTTCCTAAAACTGCTTCAAGCAGTTTTAGCCCAGCAATGGAAAGAAGACTAAGACAGGGGCCAGCACCCCTCAGTCACAGACTCAAGTGTACTGCCGTGGGACATACTCACAGGCCTGAGTCCCCATGCCTGTAGACTCACTCTCCTTCCTAGCAGGATAGACATCCGGCATTGAGCTGGGGTGGGTTCACAGTATGCCCAGAGCTGAGGCATTGGCTCTCTACTACAGGGCCAGCCCAGTGGGCACAACAGCGAAAGGGACTAGGTCCTTTCTACTAGAGACACGGGTCCTATCTCTGCTGGCACCCTGAAACCAGTTCCACTGAGAAGCTCGAGCAGGAATGTAGTGAGGGCAGGTGTCCAGGAGAAGAGGGGGTACCTGAACATGGCGATCAGCAGGTTCATAAGTAGCACATTAGTGACCAGCAGGAAAGTGACCAGAAGGAGAATGACCACCCAGTTGGCATAGAGATTGGGGCAGGAAGCTGAGCTTTCCAGCAGTAGAGGATGAAGCGAACAGTTCACACGGGCCTCTGCAAGACAAACAGACATCTTCAGACTGGGAATGTGGTTCCAAGCTGAGGCCACCAGGGTGCAAGTCTGGCTAGGCAGTCAGGGGCCTGGTTCACAAAGGGCTGGCTATGTGAACCACAAAGCACCAAAAGTGCCACTGTGGAAGCCAGCCCTAGTTGCACCAAACTAACAGGTGGACTGCGTATCATCCGCATTCTCTGCTGGGATTCCAGGAAAGGTCACAGGGCATGGAGGCAAGCCAAGTCCATGTGAGGAACGGAAGTGAGGATACAAGAGTCATGGAACCC